ACCGAGCCTCTTATAAAAAAAGAAAAGGTTAAATTAGAGAATGCATAAAACAAAGGCTCTCCGCAGCTCCGGTCCCAGTTATCAGAACAGAATTGTGGTTGCCAAGGAGCGAGGGACAGATATGTATGGAGAGCTTTAGAGGACAGCACTGAGTGACACACAAGAGTATCATTATCTTGTCAAATGTTATTCATGTTGTATCTGTTCCATCAGACACTTCTGTGTTCTGTGACCTTGGACAAGATACTGCCAGAGAGCTGTTTTGAGGGCAAATAAAACACCTGTCAGTGTCCAGCCCATTGCCCAGGGTATTGTAAGGACAAGATGAATATTCTTTCATGTGCTTCTGTTCTCCCTTCTTCCCATGGAGGTTGGCTATGGCTGTCTGGTCAGACCCTCACTGATTTGGATTTGCCTCCTTTGGAATTGGCGACTCTTTGACCTGGGCATGGGGAGTTACCTCTGCACTATTCAGAATTCTGGAATGCTGGTGAATTGAAGCTCCTGGGCCTGAAAGATAAAGCTTGCAAGTGCTTGTCGAATGGAATCACATCCCAAGAACTGGACAGGACATACAGGATTCCTCTGGATCATCCTGCTGACCGACACAGAAGGGTTCTACCATTTCTTTCTTTTTTTTTTTTTTAATTTTTTTAACGTTTATTTATTTTTGAGACAGAGAGAGATCGAGCATAAACGGGGGAGGGGCGGAGAGAGAGAGAGACACAGAATCGGAAGCAGGCTCCAGGCTCCGAGCCATCAGCCCAGAGCTCGACGCGGGGCTCGAACTCACGGACCGTGAGATCGTGACCTGAGTTAAAGTCGGACGCTCAACTGACTGAGCCACCCAGGCACCCCGGGTTCTACCATTTCTATGCCAGGTGTTCCTCTCCCTCTGCCAAACCCTTGTTCTGATCGGCAGGGCTCTTTATCTCACCAAGGATCTCCCCGCCCCCTTCCTACTTTTGGCAACAACGACTTCTAATTACTCATTGAAAATTCTGTAACTACTGAAGAACAAACATTTTGCAAGGTAAAATACTTTTGTAACACAGAATTTCCAAAATATTTCCCAGACTCAAATACATATTCACTGATCCCCTCCTATGTACCAGGAACCATCAGAAGGGCAGGGTCTATAAAGATGAATGAGATAAGAATAATTTCTGTCCTCAGCTCATTTTTCAGTGGAGAGAGACACATAGACTGCTGTAAAATAATGTTGGAAAGAGCTGATAGACAGATATACAGGCTATTATGGAATCATGAGGGAGACACACCCAACTCAGCCTGAGGGGAGGCATTCCGCAAAGACTTCCAGAAGGTGAGGCCCAAGCTGAGACTTGAAGGGAGAGCCATATTTTGTAGGCTAGATGGGCTTATATGAATAGATGTTATGGATTTGAATCAGTTTTGTACATTTACAAAAGCATGCATAAAGGCATTTTCATCTAAACTTTGTGTTAGTTGTTTGATCTAAAGTTATAAAGTTATATTAAAAAAACTAATAATTTGGACTCTTCACTACAGACCATTGGTTTTCAAACTGTATTCTAGAAATCCTAGGATTTTTTTGAGATCGGGGGTTGTCAGGGACCTTGGTCCAAGGGACAGTGGATGCTGAGCAGACAGAACTCAGACCATCACCTCCACTGTTCCGTTATATTTATTGCTGCTGAGTGTAACTATTTTTAATTAGAGAAGGGGTTTCTGATATTAACATATGTTTCAAACGAGGAAGGAAGACCAACTCCCCAGTGAAGCAGGTTTCACCGCATACTTGCCATCTAAGACTAATTTATCCAGCTGAGTACTTTTAAAACAAAGTACCAAGAAATACTCCCACCCCTAGTTATCTTTGTCTGTTCTGCAACCATGACCCTCACACCTCCCCCCAGGCAGCAACCTTGCAAAATAAAGTGGAGATTTGATAAAATGTATCTCTACTGCGAAGAAAATGTCCGTAAGGAGTATAGCTTATTAATGGTGGGATCTTCAGGGACAAAGACAGCAGTTTTTATTCTTTAGAAGAAATCTCATTATAGCAAAATACCTTCCTATGGAATGGATTTGCTAAATTCTATTTATAAATCAGTGCTTTAAGTAACATGTGAAGTAAAATTCTGTAACAGTGAATAAATGGGTTGCTCCTTCATGTTCATTACTTTGGGACTTTTCCAAGAGTGCACATTTCAAAATACAAAATGCTTCTCTTTGATCCTGAACACACAATGAGAACCTGGTTTTCTGACAAGATTGTCACCTTTCAAATACATGTGTTTGTATCAAAACGTGGTAACTTGTTGTCAGGGCTCCTTTAGTGTTGAAGAAGATTTTCCTAAATCGTTATACCATGACTGTCCTTGTGCATCACTATAAAGCTGGGTTGAGAGAAGTAGATCCAGTCTTAGATGGGAAGAAAACACATGAGTGACTTTCCTGGGTCCTATAGGAAGTCAACCAGGAAGCTAGAATGAGTCCTGAACTAATGAGGTGAATGCACCGAAATCTGAAAATTAGCTTGTTCTGTTGAGCAATAAATACATCAGAGGCTGTTGCTCCTTAGACACCAGCATTTTTCCTAGGAAAATCTAATCAACTCTGGGTATAGCCACCAAGGGAAAAGAAGGGAGGAAGATGTTACTGCTAAGACTTCCTTACTGAAACCCACCCCATCCATTGCTGCTGGGTGGTGCCTCCTTCTCCGGCCACCAGGGCAAAAAGCTAATTCTGCTTGTGGATCAATATTCAGGTGAGCCTGGAGTGACATCAATGGTTAGGGGCAACTGTCAAGGAGATTACTCTTCCACTGCTAAGTTGTTTGCACTTACAACATGAGGAACATTTCAGAAACCTACTTACGGGTTTTCTAACCTGCTCATCAAGGCAACAAATGAGCTAGTCAGCCAGTTGATAGGGTTCAGGCAAGAGGAATGAGTGCAGAGAAGAGCTGAGAGCAAGACACAGGGAGGAAATCCCACAGTCTGCTAATTATTCTTTTCCAGACTCAGTTTTCATAAAAAATACTTCCTTGATGGAAAACTCACTGCCTCGTGACACAATTAGTTTGGTTCATTTAGTAAGTCTATTTACCACAATTAGACATAGGCTCAAGGTCTAATTATAAAGAAATTATTGATATTTTTATTAGGGATGATAATGTATGATGATTATGTAAAAAAAATCCTTATCAGTGGGTACATAGTAATGTGCCACAATGCTTTGGACTTTCTTTAAGATAATCCAGCAAAAATGACTAATGGGGGAAGATAAGAAAATGAGGCTGGCCAGTGGTGTTGGGTGATAGGTACATTGTACTAAACTCTCTACTTTTGTGCATGTTTTATATTTTTTATGAGAAAAAGTTAAATGATTTAAAAAATAGGTCTAAAAAGTCACATCATAACAATACTCTTCTAGGTATTTACCACGCAAAAATGAAGATAGGCTTAAATGCTTACCCCTAAATGCCTAAATTTCTTTGATTCAAAAATACCATCAGTTGGAGGATCCACCATTCATTTGATAATTGTTTTTCAGAGGAAAATAAACACACAACACTGAAATACACGCTGATTATAAACTATATCCCAATTTCAGAGTTGTTAAAAATGTGGAAAACATGCCTTAGAATTGAGGTAACCTGGTCATTTTGTTGTCAATTGTGTGTGTGTGTGTGTGTGTGTGTGTGTGTGTGTGTTTAACGTAAGCTCCATGCCCAATGAGGGGCTTGGACTCAAGACACTGAGATCAACAGTCCCATGCTCTATGGACTCAGCCAGTCAGGCGCCCCTTGTCATTTGTTAACAGGAATTA